GGGGGTGTCCCGGCCGCCGCCCGCCGCGTTGCGCGTCGGTCCCCTTCGTCCAGACCAACGCCGCCGCTGGGGTTCGTCGGGTAAACGCAGGCCCGAAAGGCCCGCGCAGCTCGGGCCACTCCGCCGACCGGGCGGCGTCCGCGCCGGAGCGACCGCGCCTGAGCCCCTTGCTGCGCCGCGGGCCCGGACGGGCTGTCCGGAACCCTGCACCCGGCCAAGTAGGGCCTCGAAGCCTCCAGCTCTCCACCCGGCTCCGCGTCCTCTGATGTGTGCTTTCCAGTATAAACATACGCAGTTTGAAAACATAAGCCAGTGAAGTTCTGGTTCCGTTCCTCTCACGGACGCGAAGCCAGATCCTTCACAAAGGCCACAGTGAACTTATTATTCATTCATGCTAGTTTGGTTCTGGAGATGGATTCAGACCCGACCACAGACCTGGTAAAGGGAGATACAAACCACAGCTTAATCCGGATTACAAGCTCTGGCCCTAAAATGAAGCCGTGCCCTGGCGAAGGGGCTAACACCCGGGTCCCGACGGCAGCTGCGCCCCAGGCCGCCGACTTGCACCAGTTCTGCCAGCCGTGCCAGGGCGCACAGAAAAGGAGTCTGCCTGCACCCGGATCCGCGCTGCCTCAGCCCCCCGTGGTGCTGCTTTCTTCGCCACCCAGAGATCTCCGTCAGCGGGCACAAGCACAGCGGAACGCCTTTCCGGGCTGTGCTCGCCATCGAGGGGAACGCGCATGCCCTGCTCCGAGGGCTCCCTTCCCCACGGCCGCGAGCCATCCCTCCGCGCTACGGCGTAGTCCGCTTTCTGTTGCTGGAACCCAATATCAGGCCAGACCCAGGGTTATCTATAAAGAAAATAAGTGTATTTTGCGCAGTTTGCAAGGGGCACTGCCCATCCCTACAGCAGGACACGCTCAGGTGAGGACTTCGCCTGCTTCAGCTCATGGCAAAGGCGAAAGTGCAAGCAAGAGTGCCCGCGTGGGAGAAGGCAGGTGCCAGGCTTTATAACAACCCCTCTGAAGATAACCACCCACTCGGCGGGAAGTATATTAAAGCCTGTGTGCGGGTGGAGCTTCCACGGCTTCGCTACCTCTTAAAGGTCCCACCTCACGCGGTAACTCTGGGACACGCCTCCTGAGTGCTGCTGGAGATAACTATACTGAAACCACATACACAGCCCAACCTGCTCCGCAAACGGAGCTGCCCTCACCCTTCCTTTCCCTCGTTTCAAGAAGCACGCAGTGATCTAGGCTCTTCCGGTCCCCTGGCTGGATGTCTTTTCCTCCTCCTAAGAAAAGCTGAAGGCCCCTAGGGCAGAGGCCCAGCTGGAGTTGGTCACATATGTCTTAAGCTACCCTTCAGATTCTAGGTTGTTTTTTGGGTGTTTTTCATTTTGGTTTTTTTTTTTTTTTTTTTTTTTTTTTTTTTTTTTTTTTTTTTGTCCTTTTGAGTCAGGGTCTCACGGTGCTAGGATTACAGGCGTGTGCCACCACACCCGGCTCAGATTCTAGTATTAAGCTATTACGCTTTCCATTCCCCGAATTACAGCCAGATTCCTAAACCTGAAACCCATGCCTTAGCAAAACCTCGGTCCAAGGCCAGGTGTGGTGGCACACGCCTGTAATCCCAGCACTAGGGAGGCTGAGGCAGGAGGATCGCTGCAAGTTCAAGACCAGCCTGGGCTACAAAGTGAACTCAAGGCCAGCCTGAACTGCACTGCGAGTCCCTGTTTCAAAAAAAAAAACAACAAAAACCTGGGCCCAGTCTGTAGTGAGCAGAACTGTGCCATCTTGAAGCAGGCTTAACAGGCACATTACCTGTAGCTGAATTTCAGTTCTAGCTATTTGAGTTCATGCTGGGCAATACCAAGCTCCACCTCATCCCACCAGTCTCAGCCAAAGCAGCACACATTTACACAGGCCTTCTCCAACCTAACTAGTGTCCTCTTGCCTTTGTCCAGCCAGCCATTCCCTAGCTCCTTCAAAAACAGCTCTTTATAAGCCAGGAGTGGTGACACACACCTGTAATCCCAGCACTCAGGAGGCTGCATTGCATAGCAAGACCCTGTCCCAAAAAAGAGAAAAATAAAGCTGTCTACAGACTAACTCCAACCTCCTCACATTTGTCTGAAACAAAGTGATGCTTGTGGCAGAGCAAGAATAGGACGGCACTGCCAGCCTACTTGCTGTGATTGAGAGAAGGCTGTCAGGAAACCCTACCCACCCAAGGCTGTGCCTGTTCAGCCTGTTTCAAGATGGCACAGCTCTGCTCACCTACCCCACCTCCCCCTCCCTACCTCCAGTTCCCATCACTGTGACAACTGGAATCTCGGAGAAAGAGGGCAAGGCTGCCTAAATTGCACAATCGACTCCGAAGGCAGATCCAGCTCAGTGATACAAGCTGTTTTCTCTCCCTCTTCGCCAGACAACTGCAGGGAGTATCTCCAACTTCTGGTCCTATCAGTTAGCCCACTTACCCTACAGCCTGTCTCTAGCTGCCTAAGGGGCAGCTGCTTGGGAGATGTCGTGCTGGGCAGGGGCAACTATGCAACACCGCAGGAAGTCCTGTTCCGCATATCCTACTTCCCATGCTACCGAGGAAGGCAAACCAAGACCGCAGCCAGCTACAGCTCCCATGAAAGGTTTCAAATAGAGCTGGGCTGAGTCCTGGTTCAAGAAGTCTTTGTTCTTTCAGGGATCGCAGAGCAACATCTAGTGGCCCTTCGGGGCAGCACAGATTACATCAATTCCAGCACACAACAGGGCACCACAACAGCCTCCGTGGGCTGAGTGGCACACTCCAGCAGTGTCTCACTGACACACAAGCCACTCCCCACACCATGAAGATGAGGCTCTCGGTGAGAGTCCATGCCTGGCCTAGGGGCCAGCTGGGCCCCAGCCATCCCTAGATAGCCCATGCAAGCTGGAAGAAAACAGCGGCACAACTGCTTGTCCTTATGGCCTAGAGCAGTGCTGTCCAACACATGGACAGCGTCAGCCACGATTACAAACCTCAGAGCTGGTATTTTCTAGTGGCCACTTTAAAAAAGTAAAGAGGGGCTGGGAATTTAGCTCAGCGGCACAGCGCCTGCCTGGCAAGTGCAAGGTCGTGTGTTCGATTCCCGGTACCAGGGAAAAAAAAGTAAAAAGAAACAGGTGAATTTTAACAATATTTTATTTAACCCAATATACCCAAAATATTTCAACACACATATAAAAGTTATTGATACTTTACATTTTTTGTCATACTAAGCCTTCAAGGTCTGGTTTGAGTTTACACTTGCAGCACGAGTTTGAACCAGCCACATCCCCAGGGCAGGCCTGTAGAACGTGGCCAGCGGCTACTTGCTCGATGGCCCAGGTCTAGAAGTCATCACGTGAGAGGAAAGCAAGGGCCAGAGGGTCAGGAACTGTCTCTCCCCCACTCAGCTGTCTCCATGGAGTACTTGTAGAAGAAGTCCACAGCAGCAGGACTCTTCCTCTCCGGTGTTTCCCTGCCCTGCTCACCTGGAGAGGCGGTCCGCCATCTCTTCTTCCTCCTCCCCCACCTTCCAATAAATCATCTTTTATTTATTTTTTATTTTTTATTTTTTTTGGTTTTTCTCCGGTACCGGGAACCGAACTCACGACCTTGCGCTTGCCAGGCAGGCGCTTTTGCCGCTGAGCTAAATCCCCAGCCCCTAATCATCTTTTATTTAAAACAAACCAACCTTTCTCCAAGTAAAATTACACATAGAAAGTGAGACTAGAAAGCCGGGCATGGTGGCGCTCGCCAGTAATCCCAGCACTCGGGAGGCTGAGGCGGGAGGATCGTTGCGAGTTGGAGGCCAGCCTGAACTGCACACCAAGACCCTGTCTCAACAAGACCAAAAACAAAAACAAAAACAAAAAAAAGAGACTAGAAAAACTACCTGGAGAAGAGCTGGCAGACCCCCAGGAAGCCCTAGGAAGAACCTTCTGTTGATTCCAAAGGTATCTAAGCTACAGCTGTACACCAGGTTTCCACAAACTTGCCCTTTCGGAACTTCTTATAACCCTCACCTCACAATCACCGCCCATGGGCTCCTCGTCGTCCTCACTGCATGGGTGAGGAAACAGGCTGGAAGCATCTCACCGCCAAACCCGAGTATCCTCACTGGACCCAGTGCCTTGCAAAAACCAGATACCTGGAATGAGAACTCCGTTTCTCATTCCAGACCTCACAGATCAGCTTCCTGCCCAAAACTCTCCAAATCTAGATTCCAAGTCTGGCTAAAGAACTCCCACTAATGAGTCAGCAGGCCTCTCGCCAATCTAAGGGGAGACTACTGCTGGGCTCCGAAGTCTGAACTTGCTTGGAAACCCTCCAGCTCCCAAGAAAGGACACCTTTTGAAAAAAAAATTATTTTTATTGGAACTCATCTGAACATCAGATATACCTGGTGTTGGTTAGCAAGAACCGTTTGTACATTTGATATTGATGGTGCCAAAACCAAAACAGTGACTGGACATGATGGGGAAAGATGTTGAGAACAGAAACCTGATTTTGGAGAGGAGAATGAAGGCCAGTCAGATTCAGTGAAGATGCAAAACCTGGTACAACAAAATCCTTTTACAAAATATAAATTTATTACGAAAACCTGGAAGGATAATCTGAGAAAGGCAAAGAAAAAGAAGCCAGCAGGAAAGAGGCATGAGGAGGGGGAGAGGAAAAGAAGAAAGACAAAGAGGAGATGGCAGAAGAAAATACAGTTGAACACAGAGGAAGTGCAGAAGCTCATCTGCCCCAATGGCATTAAAGCCTCGCTACGTAATCGCGTCAGAAAACAAAGCATGCTGAGATACAGTGCTCCACCTCCCTCCCATCCGTTTGAGTTCTAAGAGGTAAATACAGAAGCTCCCTGGGAAGGGGACATGAGGTTGCTCAAAAACCCAACAAGGAAAAAAAACAAAAACAGAAAACAGAAACCACACCCCACAGTCTCATTTCCGATGTTCACTGTTTAAAAAAGGAATAAACCCATCCGACAGCAGGAGGAGTGGAGAGGGAGAAGCTGATGGAATTCAGACAGTCCAACTCCTCTGAAAGGGAGGAGGGGGCAGGAGGAGACGGTCTCCCAGCTGAGAGAAGGGACAGGGAAGGGAGAGAGAGAACAGAGAAGAGCAGAGGAGAGAGAGGCAGTTAAAACACTGACATCTAATCTAGTTACTGTGTTAAAAAAAAGAAAAGCCACATGCACGGCAGGCCCCCGGGGCGGAGGACCCACACTGCTCCCTTTGTGGCCGTAGTGGGCGCCAGCTCCCGGTCTTGTCCCCATTCCTTCTCAGGTCAGAGCGGAGCCGTGCAGGTGCTGCTGCTGCTGCTGCTGCTGCTGCTGCTGCTGCTATTGCCGCCGCCGCCGCCATGACAGCAGCGTGGCTGTGGACCTTCAGCTCTTCTTCGGGAGCCAACGTCAGGAGGGGTAGGAACAGGCGGACAGGCCAAATGGCAGGGGAAAGAACACTGAAACGCCTCATTTCAAATAAAAAAGAAAACAGCAGTCTATACACAGTTGTTTGTTTTGGTTCAGTACAAACAGAATAAAAAGTCATTGCTTTTGATGGCCAGCGAACACCCAATTCTGAAGAGGAGAGGTGGCGCCCAGCGGGTGGATTAGGACCCCCCAGTGGTTGGTGCCTGGCTTTGCGGCCCTCTCCCAGGAGGCAGAGAGCACAGCTTTAGGTAGTGTAAGCCTTTTTTCCTTTTATTTAGAACTCTTTTTTTTTCTTTTTCTTTTTTTTTTTTTAAGCAATTTCCCCACTCCCAAGTTGGGCCAGTAAAGATTACATGAAAACTGGCACACCGATTGGCTGGAATACAGATGCACCAAATGAGGATTTAAAAACTTTCCGAGCGAAAAGTAGAACAAAAAGAAAAAAGAATCTCCTAGCACTTTCCCCCAAGGTTTCACTCTCCCGCCACACACACTCTCCAAAGGACCGCTACAGATCCAACTCTGCAAGAGAAGACAGGGCAGGGTCAATCGGGAAGCCGCAGGGGCACCAGGAGGCTTTCAGTCTTGCAGATGGCAGCGCTGCCCGGTCCTGGGTCCCAGAGCTGGCACTCACCTATGTCAGCTTCTTGGCTTTGTTATAGAGGGAATCCACTACTTTACTCATGTTCTGAATTGTTTCCAGAGCAGCTTCATAAGTTTTATCTACTGGGGGTTCATCAAAAATAATCAGGACACCCTCACCCTGGTCCAAAATCCCTGTAGGAAACATAAGGGCAACCCAAGTAAAAGATTAGACATAAAAGCCAATGTAAAGCAGCTCACTCCCTACCTGCCTACTTTCTTCAAAAAAGGAAATAGAACTTGTCTTCTTTTTCTCTTTGCACATGTTTAGTACACTCTTTTTTTAAGACAGGCTCCCGCTATGTAGTTCAAGCTGGCTTTGAACTCACTAGGCAGCCAAGGCTGATCCTGAACTTTTGGAGATCCGCCTGCCTCAGCCTCTCCAGTGCTGAGATTACAGAGGTGTACCACCATGCCCAGTTTAGTATACTTATCACGGGGAGGAGGATCAAAATCCCAGGGATCCATCAGGAGAAACAAACAGAACACCTTCTTTAAAGATATCTCTTCATGTCAGGTGTGGTGACACACGCTTGCACCCAGCACTTTCAGGATGCTGAGGCAGGAGGATCATTGAGAGTTCAAAGCCAGCCTGGCTGCAGAGTGAACTCAAGGTCAGCCTGAACTACAGTGAGACCTTGTCTCCAATCAATCATCAATCAATCAATCAATAAATCTCTTCGGCCATCTCATCACCACCACCAGCCCCGCCTTGCCTGGGTCACTGTTACTCACCATGAAACTTCTTGTCAAGAATCATCTGTGATAATTTCCTTTCCACATCAGCCTAAAATAAAAGCACATGATTAAAGGGATAGTATGTATTAGTCAGGGATCACCCTGACATGAAAGCTCTGTAGAAAGGGTCTCAAGGCAAATTAATTGAAAACAAAACAGCAACAATGCAACTCCAGCTCTGAGCCCACATTCCCAGTTCCCCACTGAGCAGCTTGGGAGCACTAATAAATCCATCAGGTACAAATGCCAGCCCCTCCCCCTGCCCCCCGCCCTCCCACCAAAAGGCCTCCAAACTCCTTACCTTGCAAAGTTTGATGAGGCTAGATATGTGTTCAATCTAAAAGGAAAGGCAGAGACACCAACACTGAAAGTTTTACTTCTGCCTCCAACACGGGGGTGGGGATTGCTGGGTCTGTCAGATGTCTCATCTCTAGAGAGCCACAGCCTCTGTGTGGCCATGCTTGTGTCTCTTGTGTTGTCTACCTATCTGCCCTTCCTCACTCCAGACAACACACTCTCTGCCCCCCGTGCCCGAGACATGGAATGTGTACCGCACACAGTGACTAGGAAAGCCAGGCAAAGCCTGCACTCGGAACACAGGCAGGAGGCCATCTCACAAGTCCCTACCCCGCAGGCACCTTCTACTCATTTCCCTCAAGGTGAGCCCAAGCTCTAGGTGGCTTCCTGCCCATCGGGCACACCCTTGGAAATAAGATCCTATTTTGGACAGATGTGCAAGGGGAGGTGGTTCTAGTGAGAATGCATGGCCAGAAACAGCTTGAGTCCCCAGAAGGGTTCTTACCTGTACTCGGGAAAAAGGCTCAATGACTCGGATCAGGTTCTGTTCCAGTAAGTTATCATACAACTTGGCCAAGTGTGTGCTGATGATGGGGTCATCCCGGAGCTCTGTCCTGTAATCTGTCAAGGCCTGCAAAAGAGCCGGCGACAGATTGGCACAGGAAGGACACTAAAGGCACATTCCCCATAGCTTCCTGAGTAGTCTGCTGGCCCTCATAATTACATAGCTAACGAAGGTATCTGAGATTGGAAGAGATGAAAAGCCCTGACAGAATAGAGAGTAGAAGAAAAGAAATGTCAGCCAGGTGTGGTGGTCACGCCTAGCCTTTCCGAGGTTCTTCCTGTACTCAGGAAGGTAAGGAAGCAGGAGGATGGAGAATCTGACACCAGGTTGAGTTACATAACAAAATGCCGTTGGGGAAAAAAAAGAGGAGGGGGAAGAGGAAGATAAAAGACAAGAGACCCACAAGGGAAGAAAGAAGAGCAAAAAAGAACAGGAAAAAGAAATGTTAAGAACAAAAAGAGCCACCAACTTTCTGCCCAAGAAACTCAGGTCAACAATTCACATCACCTAGGGCTGGGGAGATAGCTCAGTGGCAGAAGCGCCTGCCTGGCAAGCACAAGGTCCTGAGTCCACACACACACACACACACACACACACACACACACACACACACACACACAAACCACAAGCCCAGCTCTACTGGAAAACCAGATTAACTAGACAAGCACATATTTTGAAAATTTTGGGGAGCTAGGTGTGGTAGTACATACTTGTAAGCCCAGAACTCAGGAGGTTGAGGCAGGATGACTGCCATGAGTTCAAGGCCAAGCTGAACTACACAGAGATCCTGTCTCAAAAAGCAAAAAAATAAAAATAAAAATAAAAAAATGGAAATATTGAATTCCACAACTAGCTTAAAAGTTTTGCAAGGAATATGAGTATATCATAGCTCTACTATCCAATTTTGTTTGGCCCTAGTATTTCCCAAATACGTGATCACGGAATCTTACTTCCAAGAAACCATGCAGAATAAAAGGTTCAAAGCTAGGTATGGGCGGTGCAGCACATGCCTGGCAAGTGCAAGGTTCTGAGTTTGATTCCCAGTACTATAAAAAAAAAGTTTTTAAAAAGCCGGGTGTGGTAGCGCTTGCCTATAATCTCAGCACTCAGGAGGCTGAGGCATGAGGGTCACTACGGGCTTGAGGCCAGCCTGAGATACATAGTGAGTTCACAGCCAGCCTGAACTACAGAATGAGACCCTCTCTCAAAGCCTCCTGCCCCCAAAAAGGTTCAATCAAACATGCCAAATTTGGGGATAAAATCATCTATATGTACTCATATGTGTGAAGTATTTACCTTTAGTAACAGTCTCAATACACCAGCTTCATGTTAGCTACACTATAGTGTTAAAAAAAACAAACAAACCACATAGACTAATCATGCCAAGTAAGGGGCAAGAAGAATCAGTAAGGACCTGTGTAGATAATGAATTTTGGGGATGGTGAAAGCCACAGTCTCCATCCACAGTGTTTTTCCTTCTGGATCTAGGTTTGTTTCAGTTGGTCATTATACTAAGACTGAAAGGAGACATTCAGGAAAGAATGTACACAAACCTCATCCTAAAGATTAGACAAGTGCTTCCTTTTCTGAAATGTCCCCAAAAATGAACAAAAGGCACAGGAGTCAAAAGTCTAAAATACCACCCTAAGAAAGTTTCATTCGGGCGAAATGGGCACAGCAGGGCACATGCTGGTTGTCCACACAGGAGGAGCAGACCTGGCCTTTCTGATGCTAAAGGAATTCCTAAGACAGTGCTGTGGGGAAAAGTCAAACCATGATATAAAGTACTGCATGACTCTTGCAAGCTCCCGATTCCCGGCTCCCTCAACCACAAAATGAAGCTTTGCCATTAAAAAAGGACGACAGAAGTGTTTGAAACAGAGGAGTATTATATATAAATGATACATAATCTAGACCAACTCAACAACTTTCATTGTATGAAAGTGTTTATTTCCTGGTTTTGTCACTGCAGTGAGTCAAGGATAGAAGGGATCACCTGGTGTGTCTTTGCAACTGTTTGTGAAACTATAAATATCTTTAAATGTCCCTCTCCACCCATTCCACACCAACCCAATACCATGCTCACCTTCTCAAAATCCGCCAGCGATCTGTTCTTGCTAGCCTGAGCCACACATTTTAATGCTTCTGTCTGAGATTAAAGAGACAAATCATGAAAGTGGTCTATTCTGCATGTTCACACCTAAAACGTCTCATAAACAGTATGTTATGTCCACACAACTTCTGCTGTAAGAAGAACCCACCCCACCATCATTCTTCTTCAGAGGCCTGGGAAAAAAAGGTAGAAGTATTATATACTTTAAAATCTGAAATGAACTTAAGACTAGGAAATAAAAATTTTCCAAAAGGATACACCCTGTTGGACCTAGTGGCACAAGCCTGTAATCCCAGCACTTGGGAGGCTGAGAGGCAGGAGGATCCCAAGTGCAAGGCTAGACTGGACTACTCAGTGAGACCCTGTCTCAAAACTACAATCAAAAAAAAAAACAACAAAACTACAATCAAAACCAAACACATGGGGCCAGGGATATAACACAAGCGCCTGCCTAGCAAGAGCAAGGTCCTGAGTTTGATTCCTGATACCGAGAAAAAAAAAAAAGAAAGAAAGAAAAAGATCACAAGCTAAAAGGGTAACATGACAAGAGAACTGTGATTTCCTTCCCCTTCCTCCAAGACTCATTTCTACCCATCCAGCTCCTTCTTGACCTCAAACTGATTATACCTACCTGTGTTTTTTTGTTTTGTTTTGTTTTGGTCTTTTTTAAGACAGGGTCTCGCTATGGAGTTCAGGCTGGCCTTGAACCTGCAGTGATTCTCCTGCCTCAGCTTCCCAAGTGTTGGGATTATAGGTGCATACCTATGCTTTTATCAGGATTCATTCTTTGATACAAGGCACTGAACAAAGCCTACCTACTTCATTAGACTTCAGACATTAATGTTTACATATTACACTTGAATAATAAACCCTACAGAGTGTTAAAGGTACAATCAATGGCTAAGGACAACTTCAAACCTCATTATACATGACACCTGCCAAAGCTAACAAGTCTCCATTCTGCAAGAAATCTGTAACACCCATCTTTCTAGATCAGTCTGACTCTTGCTTGAAAGCTGTCATCAAGGTACAAAGGAGCACAAAGAGATCCTCAGGCTGACACAGGAGGATCACCGAGTTTAAGGCTGACCTGGGCTACACTGAGTTCAAGACCAACCAACTTCGTAACAAGACTGTCTCAAAAAAAAAAGGAGAGAGATTCTTTATGTCAGCCTACATACTTAAATAACGATGGTATGTCTTCCACAGCAGACTAAATGGTGCAAGGCTATCATGAACTTAAGTCTGTGTCCAGCACTTGTCCTATAGACAGAACAAATGTCATAATGAGAGAAGCCTGGAACTTACAACCCAAGTTCCAAGTATGGCCTGACTATCACCTACCTGACCTTGTTCTGGACACTTGAGCTATTTGAGCCCATCCAGTTCTTGTGAGTGCAGTACACCCTTTATAGTAATAACCAGTATTCTCAAGGTCCAAACTAGGAGCTGACTTTAAATTTTTGTTCATGTATAGCAAATAATAGCCACTTGTGGAGAAGAAATCATCTGGTGTGGCCATTCCAACAAAGATATATAAATATTCCTTGTTTAATGACTGAGTTAAAGTCCTGAGACTAGGTCATTAAACAGATGAGTCACTAAATGAGGAATTGTATATAATATGTACAATATTTAGAAGAAATGGTCAAAGCAAACTCTAACTTGATGACTTTGCTTTTATTCGCGAAGTTCTTACATGCAGTACTATAATATATAAAAACGTAAAACTACATTGTAATACTGTACAGTATAATCAGCAAAAATTACAGTACTGTATAAAGGTATAGTGCATCAAAAAGAAAAGAAAAAAGAAAAAAAAAACACTGAAGGTCTATAAATAAGAAATACAGAATGGCATTTAAAAAAAATGAAAACAAAGATTGTAAGTTAAAACAGTGCACCTCAGTCTTAGGTCGAAACAGTTGTTAAACAGGTAGGTCATTAAATGAGGAATGTCTGTTAAGAAACAGCCAATGTGCCTGTTGTTTGTTTTTATTTATTTATTTATTTATTTATTTTTGGTCTTTTTGAGACAGGGTCTCGCTATGCAGTGCGGGCTGGCCTTGAGCTCACTTTGTAGCCCAGGCTGGTCTTGAACTCCCAACGATCCTCCTGCCTCAGCCTCCCGAGTGCTGGGAAAACAGGCATGCACCACCACACCCAGCATGCCTGTTGTTTAGAGACAACTGCCTTTGACATCCAGAAAGATTATTAGTGACAATCAACCAAAGTATAAAGAGAAGATAGTACAGACATCTAGGACATCTTTACAAAAGTCACAACTATTTGCTCTCAAAAAACATACTTGCCAAAAAAATGCCCCACGAACAGTTGTGGTGGTGTACACCTGTAATCCCAGCACCTAGGAGGCTGAGGCAGTAGAACTGCCTCAAGTTTGAGACCAGCCCAGACTACACAGTAAATTTAGGGCCAGCTTGAACTATGTAGTGAGACCCTGCCCCAAGAAAAGCAAAACAAAACAGTCACACTCATACCTACTCATACATTAAGGTACCATAAAAAGGGCTATCAGGTGCCAGAGATTTAACTCAGTGGTAGAGCACTTGCCTGGCAGGTGTGAGCTTCCAAGTCCAATCACCAATACCAGAGAGACAGACACAGAGAGAGACACACACACACACACACACACACACACACAGAGAGAGAGAGAGAGAGAGAACGAGAACTACCAACCAGCAAAGGCTTCTATTTATACCACACCCATAATTCAAAGAATCAATGGAAAGGTGCTGAGCTGAGAAGTGCTCAGCTGAGACTTAAAATCTGATTTCTGTACCAAGTAATCCAAACTCCCTAAAGCACGCATGTACCAAATCTAAACAGGCTCCTGACTCAGAAGATCCCAGATGTCATATTCTGCACATATTAAATCTGCAAGTCAGGTTCATGGTAGACAGATCTTCTGACAAAGCTAAATGTAAAGTAAATCACTGCAAATGTTACAGTTCAGTTCTGAGTCCCTCAGGCCACTTGATGTCCACAGGAGCAACAAACACTGACTTTCATGGCCAAGCACAGGAAACTACTTCCTCCTCTCCAGAAATGAGTATTTTCAGACCATTAAAAGCAGTATCTTTTTAGTCTGTTTTTACTGAACCAAAACAAACTGTTTATAGACTGCTGTTTACTTTTTTCATTGGAGAAGGAAGCAGCTGCGGGCCACACAGAGTGAAATGGAGACCCAAAGAGCACTGGTCTCATCAAACATCGTGAATCCAACATCATGTTAGTCTCAGAGTGATTAGAACCGAGTCAAGGTGTTCCCTACCTGTCTCCCTGCATACCGAAGTGCAAGCTTCCCGCTCACCAAAGCCTGGACATCTTCTGGGCTAGAAAAAAACACATATTTGGTCAGTTGTTCCAGGGTGTTATGATTCTAACCAGAATCCCACTGTGCAGGCTGCCCACAGAGAAAATCAGCCCTAACTCCTAACTGTATGACCTTTTTTTTTTTTTTTTTGGTAGAAGCTCGGATTGATTCACTCACAGCTTAGCAATAAAAATTAGAAAAACAGGGGCTGGGGATTTAGCTCAGCAGCAAAGCACCTGCCTGGCAAGCACAAGGTCGTGAGTTCGATTCCTGGTACTGGAAGAAAAACAAACAAAAAAAAAACAAACAACAACAACAAAAAAAAAAATTAGAAAAATTCCAATGTTAAAAAAAAGTCTAAGCCAGAAGCAGTGGTATAGGCCTGTAATCTCAGCACTTTGGGAGACTGAGCCAAGAGGATCACAACTTCAAGCCCAGCCCAGGCAACTCAGTGACTCAGCAAGACCCTATCTCAAAATAAAAATACATCAGAAGGCCGAGGCAGGAGGAATGCTGTTAAGTTTGAGGCCAGCCTGGCCTACATAGTGAGTTCAAGGTCAGCCTGAACTACATAGCAAGACCTTGCCTCAAAAACATAAAAACATACATACATACATAAATAGATTGGGGCGGTAACTCAGTTCAAAAGCCCTGTGGTTCAATCACCAGTACCACAAAAAAATTAATCAATTAATTTAAAATATCTAGTGGTGGTACACGCCTGTAATCCCAGCTACTTGGAAGGCTAAGGTAAAAGGATCTTAAGTTCAAGGCCAGCCTGGGCACCCTAGCAAGACCTTGTCTCAAGAAATGTAAAGGTGGGGGATGTAGCACAGTGGCAAAGTTCCCTTGGGTTCGATTCCTCGTACCAGAAAAACAGACAAATAAGAAAAAGGAAGGGACAAAGGGAGGGAAGGAAGAGGGATGGGAAGAAGAAAAGGGGAAGGGACAGGGAAGGAAAGACAATGAAGAGGGTAGGGAGAGAAAGAAGGCAAGCCGGCTAACTGAACCTACCAAAAACAATAGACCCAACAGTCAGAACAGTAACTATAAGTCAAATCCCAGGGTAACAGGTCTTTTAAAAAAACATTCTGTGTAACTCAAAGATTCAAAGAGTCCTGGTCAATATTTAATTTATTCCCAATAGACCTTGGATAATTCTGTAGACTTCTTTATAAAAAGATCTATTTTCTACTGTCCACTTTTCAAACTTCTTGTTAACCCTACACTCTGCATTCTGGGTGGCCAAACCGGATGGCACTGGTCTGTAAGTTATTTCCTGACCTGGACCCTGAGCTCAGAACTTATGAAGACAGAATACTTGAAGGATGCAAATACTTCTCCATGGGGGATTAGGAAGGGGATTTCTAAAATTTGTTCCCGGAGCTGGGGATTTAGCTCAGCGGCACAGCGCCTACTTGGCAAGCGCAAGGTCATGAGTTTGATTCTCGGTACTGGAAAAAAAAACCCAAAAAACACCCTAAAATTTGTTTCCTTGTTTGAAAGACCATCAAGCAAAGGTGCTCTGGAATCCCTCAGATCTTCTTTTCTTTCTTTCCTTCCTTTTTTTTTTTTTTTTTGGTCTTTTTGAGATAGGGTCTCACTATGCAGTTTAGGCTGGCTTTGAGCTCATTTTGTAGCCCAGGCTGGCCTCAAACTCACAAGGATCCTCCTGCCTCAGCCTCTCAAGTGGTGGGATTACAGGCGTGCTCCACCATGCCCCACCTTCCCACTCTACTTTAACCAGCCCCAGAGGCGACTGCTTCTGCTTCATCTATAACTGGCCAAATGCCCTACCTGAGCTGTCTCTGCTATGGCACACAGACTTAGTTGAAGGACTAGAGTTCATAGATTTCGGAATTAATGTACACCTACGTATTGAGCATGATTTTGCACAGCAACATGTACTTCAGAGATGTGATGGCCTTGGGACTATCGATGGAGTCATAACCCTCAAAAGCCTCATAGAAGTATGAGTATGCAGTTTTCCAATCCTTTTCCTCTGCTGCATGGATGATACCTGGACATTGAAGAGAAGAAACAAAAACCACACAAAATTATACAATCATAAACTGGAGCTACAAAGGGCCTTAGAAATCTACCCCAACCATTTCAGCTTATTGATAAGCTCAAAAGAGAAGTTACCCAAAGTCACAGCCAAGCAGTGAGAACTGAGACTAGTAAGGTCACCTAGATCTCTGGTCTCTCAGCTCAATGCCAAATTGCCAGATTAAATTCCTAAACATGTTAGAGACCCAACTCAAAGGGGATTCTAAACTACATAATGGGGGCTGGGGATTTAGCTCAGTGGCAAAGCGCCTGCCTGGCAAGCGCAAGGTCATGAGTTCCGTTCCCGGTACCAGAGAAAAACCAAAAAAATAAAAATAAATAAATAAATAAACTACATAATGTACTGTTTGTGTTCCGTTCTTCCATGTTCCTTACCACCATCTTAGTCCAGGTACAGTTATCTTGTGAAGTGACTGGAAAAAGTCATGTTTAAGCTTTGATGGGCCAGGGATGTAGCTCAGCAGCACAAGCACCTGCCTGGCAAGCACAAGGTCCTGAGTTCAATTCCCGATACCAACAACAAAAAAAAAAACCACAAATACTCAGCTTTGATACCATCACCTGCACAGGTAATGGTATTGATCCAAAATTCCTAGACCACTGGAATTAGATGTTTTCATAACATCAACTAAGACAGCTTTCTAAGCCTGTCACTTTTATACTGAAAGAGCTCTCATGAGAAGGGAAACAACCCAACATGTCTCACCTTCATTCTGAGTATTTCCCATTTGTGAATGTGTTTAAGCCTGGATGCAATCAGTGTAGAGATCTCATATAGTGCCAAATCCATAAACCTAAATGTTCACAGCTAAGCAGTACTTCACCTCACCAATCCTCTACTATTTACAAAGTAGGTCGCCCCCAATAAACTTAACTTTGATTGAACCTGTTATTACTTCCAACTTATGCTATCATGTAAGATAACACAAAAATTCGTCCTTTCCAGGTTTAGAGGCATTGAAATAAGCCTCTGCATATTAGTCCTAACTCTGTCCTGGCCCCTCATGAACTCTACCCATTCCTTTACCACAACGTCTCCTGCCTTGTTCACAGCATCGCATATACAGAAGGTGCTTAGCGCACTGCAGTGAGAGGATGAAGCTGCTTGTACATGCTCCTAAAGAATCCACGCCTTCGCACACCGTTAGCCCATCCGTACTGAACCTGTGGTGCATGGCATTCTAGTTAGCAACTTCTATCTTAACCACTTACTAAGTTAAGCCCAAAAGAAAACCTGCCCTTCTCTACAGCCAAGAAAAGCATCCTGAAAAACCAAACTATTAATGCTGCTGAACTAAATGAGATACACACCATCTCCCCACATCTCCCAGGACAGAGTGAGGATAGAACACACCAAAAATAGTCTTGTTTTAAAAATAAGTAAGGAAGGCAAGAGAAGACCCAAAACCTGATATACTATTCCTCAAACACATTAGTAAATATGAGTCACACTGGCAGAAGGACTCTCATAGTTGACACGTGACATTTAATTTTAAAAACAAAAACTAAGCCGACCATGGTAGGGCACCACCTCTCTGTAACCCCAGCACTTGACAAGTTGTTACAGGAGGATCACAATTTCAAGGCCAGTCCAGGCTATGCAGTAGGACCCTATCTTAAAAAACAAAACCCAACCCAACCCAACCCAACCAGGGGAAACAAACAAGGTTGTCACTCATTCAACACAAAGATTAATGACAGCCTGCCATGTGCCAAATGCTGATACAGCCACTATGGAGGACATACATATGGATAAGGCCCTGAAAGGGTTCACATTCTGATAAGTATAATGGTGTGTACAAATAATATAATTTGGGGCTGGGCTAGGCTAGGGATGTGACTCAATGACAAGAGCACTTGCCTACTGTGTGTCTAAGGTGCTGGGTTTGAAACTTAGGCACTATCAAAAAAAAAAAAAAAGAAAAAGAAAAAACTATGTACTTTTGGTACAGAAATCCAAAATTAAAGAAGGTACAAAGAACAGCAATGTATGTGCACCCATGTTATATAGTAACACAATTTGTAATAGCTAGATCTTGGAAACAACCCAAATGCCCATCAACCAAGGAACAGAGAAAAAAGATGTAGTCTTTTTATACAATGGAGTAGTACTCAGCCATAAGGAAGGACAAACAGGAGACTTTTATAGGTAAATGGATGCAACTTGAAACCATACTCATAAGTGAAATAAACCAGACTCACATTTGTAAACATATTGTCTCCCTAGTGTGAGAAGCTGAAAGAGTAAATAAGATCCAAAATGTACAATAGATACTGTAAAATGAGAAGAAACTGTTTAAAAGGCAAGAGAAAAGAAGAGGAAGAGACGAGGAAAGGAGAAAAGAAGGAAGGGAAAAGTAAAAAAAAGCAAAGAATATATACTATATATTGCCGGAAACCAGGCGTGGTGGCGCACACCTGTAATCCCAGCACTGGGAAGGCTGAGGCAGGACGATCATTGTGAGTTCGAGAGCAGCCTGGGCTACAAAGTAAGCTCAAGGCCAGCTTGACATGCATAGTGAGACCCTATCTCAAAAAGACCCCCCAAAAAATTAAAAAAAAAAAAAAAATGCGTGTGTGTGTGTGTGTGTGTGTGTATGTATGTATGTATGTATGTATATTGCTGGGGATATAGCCCAGTGGCACAGCACCTGCCTGGCAAGTTCAAGGTCCTGAGTTTGATTCCCGGTATATATATTATATACATACAAGATAGTTAAAATAATTATACTACTAATTTCTCTTAATTCATTGTAAAGAAAGGTTTGTGCTAATATTTTTTTTTTTGAGACAGGGTCTCACTATGCAATTCAGGTTGGCCTTGAGCTCACTTTGTAGCCCAGGCTGGTCTCAAACTCTCAATGATCTTCCTGCCTCACCCTCCCAAGTGCTGGGATTACAAGCATGCGCCACCACACCCCGGTTGTGCTAATATTGTTTGGCCAATTAAATGCCTATATCAAAAAAAACCACAAACAAACATGCCTATATCTTGTACTCTGAGCAACTAATTTAAATATAATAATATGCAATGTACTACATTGTTACCCTCTTGTTATCTTGGGGTTTTTGGGGTACCGGGAATCTAACTCCGGACCTCACCCGTGCCATGCAGGTGCTGTGCCACTTAACTACATCCCCGGCCCTATTACCTTGTTTTGAAATTCTTTCTTTTTTCTCTTTAAAATAATTTTTAAAAAGGTACAAAAGAGGGTTTACAGAGAGGTAAGCACAGGGGCTTTCCAGGAACTGGATGAAAAGGAAATTTAAGCCTGGGCGTGGTGGTGCACGCCTGTAATCCCAGCACTGGGGAGGCTGAGGCAGGAGGATAGTTGCGAGTTCGAGACCAGCCTGGGCTACAAAGTGAGCTCAAGGTCAGCCTAAACTGCATAGTGAGACCCTGTCTCAAAAAAAAACAAAAAAAACAAAAAAAAAGGAAATTTAACAGAGAAGTTAAATGTACAAAGATAGAGAAGCAGGAAATCTCATTGCACCCAGAGAATGTGAAGCCCTTTGGTGACTAAAACTGAAAACCAAAGATGGAGGTGAAAGGAAAGGATGCCTTCCTTTTGGGTGCCATGACAAAGTAACATTTAACTTGGAGACAATAAGGAACCACTGGAGAATTATAAACAGAGGAGTCACAAGATCAGATCTGTGTCTCACAAAATGACACTGGAGCCACATACAAAAGATGGACTGACCAGGCATGGTGGCACACGCCTGTAATTCCAACACTTGGGAGGCTGAGGCAGGAAGATGGTTATGAGTTCAAGGACAGCCTGGGCTACAAAGTGAGCTCAAGACCAGCCTGAACTGCATAGCGAGATCCTGTCTCAAAAAGACCAAAAAAAAAAAAGTGGACTGGAAAAAGTAGGTAAGGAAAGCTAGGCCAGTAGAAGACCATTCCAGTAGGATAGGCTTTAATTAGAACAGCAGCTTAAAGAGATGGAAAAGAAAGGGCAGGTTTGAAAACAGATTTAATATGATCTGGTAACTGACTGAGTATGAGAGGTGAAAATGAGGAAGAAGTCAGTTACTTTAAAGACAAAAGCTTGAGCAACTAAGCCAGTAATTAGTGAACATGAGGTAGAATGATTCCAAGTTTGAGACTAGCCTGAGAAACTTTCGAAACTCTGTTTCAAAAGAAAAAACAAAAACAAAAAAACAAGGACTAGGGATGTAGCTCATTGGCAGAATGCTTCCCTAGCATGCACAGATCCCCAGTACACAGTAATAATATTATTTAACTACTGACACAGACATAAAGTGTAGAAATGAACACACGGCCAAAGTGACTGGATAGAAACTTTAGTTTCTAGTATACTGAGACTGAGATATCTAGGGAATACTTAGGTATATATATGTCCTTCAAACAGCTGGAAATCTAAATCTGAAACCTGGAGATTGAAGTGAGCAGCTATTGGTTGTCACGGGGCAGCTAACGCCATGGGAATGTACAAGACTAAAAAGAAAACGGGAACAGAAAATAAAAAGCAGCACACCCACAGTCAACCACCTAACAGTTCACTCCGAGGAAGTCACTCAGGCAGGGCATTTTGTTTCCATCCTGACTATCCTGAGTGTCGCTCAGGCAAGTGTCATTTCAATTTCTTATTTGCGCAAATATACTCTTCCGTCTGTTTTTAGTGTTGTTATTGTTTTCTTTTTGAGACAGGGTCTCACTATATATATTTCAGGCTGGCCTATAACTCACTATGTAGCCCAGCCTGGCCTTGAAGTCATGCTGATCCTCCTGCCTCAGCCTCCCCAGGGCTGGGATTACAAGTGTGCATCACCACACTCAGCTATTTATTTGCTTTGTATCAACTATTTTATGCATACTTTGTTATTTAGAACACTGTATTCACTTTGTGTAAGTGCTTCTTTTTTAGACATGGTTTCATTATGCAGTTCAGGCTGGCACTGAACTCCTAGTAATCTTCTTGCCTCAGCCTCCCGGTGCTAGGATTATAGGCATGAGCCACCACACCCAGCCTGTATTCATCTCTGGTGTTTGTTTCTAGTGAAATCTAATACTAACTTCTGGTTATTTTCTTTACTAATTCTTGTTTGTTTTGCGCATGTGAAAAATAACCTATAATTTTGTGCTACAATCTATAAAAATTCATTGTAAGTACATTAAATATAATTTTTATACTTCTCCACAACTCATTCAATACAAAAAAGTTCTATAGGTGGCATTGATATGAGTTCCATGGCATTAATGCAGTCGACCAACATTAACAAGCTATCCTGTAATCAAAAAGTGATGAAAAAATATTACTATAAAATATTTATGCACCTTCTGGACCAAACAACATGGAACTTGTTATTTTTTTCAAAACAAGGGGGTTCAAAAAGTCACTTACAATTTAGACTGGATCAACAGACCAAATAATTGAAAAATACAGAATAGCAAAACGCCAACTAGGACGTCCATTATGGGTGTCTTCAATAGTACATTCAGGGGCTGGGGATTTAGCTCAGCGGCAAAAGCGCCTGCCTGGCAAGCGCAAGGTCATGAGTTCGGTTCCTGGTACCGGAGAAAAACCAAAAAAAAA